TTTTTTTTTTTTTTTTTTTTTGAGACACAGTTTTACTCTGTCACCCAGGCTGGAGTGCAGAGGTGCAATCTCGGCTCACTGCAATCTTCACTTCCTGGGTTCAAGCGATTCTCCTGCTTCAGCCTCCTGAGTAGCTGTAATTACAGGTGTGCGCCACCATGCCCGGCTAATATTTTTGTATTATTAGTAGGGACAGGGTTTCACCATGTTGGCCAGGCTGGTGTCAATCTCCTGACCTCAGGTGATCCGCCTGCCTCAGCCTCCCAAAGAGTGGGGATTGCAGGCGTGAACCACTGCGCCCAGCCTGTTTATATAATATTCTTAATCTTGTGTATTGTCATTTCAGTAATGTTCATAGCATCTTCACCAGGAATAAATTCTCTCTGAAAAAAAAGACCACTTTCTTTGCTCTTCCATAAGAAGCAAGTCCTTATCTTGCTTCCTATATCTGTGCAAGTTTCATCATGAGATTGCAGCAATTCAGGCTCCACTTCGAATTCTGGTATTTCCACCACATCCGTAGTCACTTCCTCTCGCTGAAGTCTTAAACCACTCAAAGTAATCCATGAGAACTGGAATCAGCTTCTCTCAAACTCTTGTTAATGTTGATATTTTGGCCCCCTCTCATGAATAATGAATGTTCTTAATGGCATCTAAAATGGTGAATTTTTTTCCAGAAGGTTTTCAATTGACTTTGCCCAGATCCATCAGAAGAATCGCCACCTATGGCAGCTATAGCGTTATGAAATGTATTTCTGAAATCATAAGACTTGGAAGTCGAATTTACTCCTTGGTCCATGGACTGCAGAATGGACGTGTGTTTGCAGGCATGAAAACAACACGGATCTCCTTGAACTTCTCCATCAGAGCTCTTGGGCAACCAGGTGCATTATCACTGAGCAGCAAACTTTGGAAAGAAATCTATTTTTCTGAGCAGCAGGTCTCCAGGGTAGGCTTAAAACACTCAATCGACCACGCTGCAGACAGACGTGCTGCCACTCCAGCTTTGTTCCATTTCTAGAGCACAGGAAGGGTAGATTTAGTATCATTCTTCAGGGTCCCGGAATTTTCAGAACAGTAAATGAGCAATGACTACAACTTGAAGTCCTACCAGCTGCATTAGCCTCTAACAGGAGAGTCAGCCTGTCCTTTGAAGCATTGAAGCCAGGCATTGACTTCTCTGCCATGAAAGTCCTAGACGGCATCTTCTTCCATCAAAGCCCATTTCATCTACATTGAAAACCTGTTGCCGAGTGTAGCCACCTTCATCAGGGATTTCCTGGAGAACTTGCTGTGGTTTCTCCATCAGCCCTTGCTGCTTCCCCTTGTGCTTTTATGTTTTGGAGACGGCTTCTTTCCTTCAACCTCATGAACCCACCTCTGCTGACTTCAGACTTCGATTCTGAAACTTCTTCACCTCTCTCAGCCTTCGTAGAACTGAAGACCATTCGGGTCTCGCTCTGGATTAGGCTTTGGCTGAGGGGAATGTTATGGCTGCTTTGGTCTATCCAGACCACTCAAACTGCCTTCATAATAGCAATGAGGCTGTTTCACTTATTATTCATATGTTTACTGGAGTAGCACTCTTAATTTCCTTCATTAACTTTTTCTTTGCATTCACAATTTGGCTAACTGTTTAGTGCAAAAGGCCTAGCCTTTAGCCCGTCTTGGCTTTTGACATGGCTTCTTCACCAAGCTTAATCATTTCTAGCTTTTGATTCAAAGTGAGAGACATGTGCCAGACGTGGTGGCTCATGTTGGTATTCCCAGTTTGTCGGGAGGTTGAGGCCAGCAGATCACTTGTGGTCAGGAGTTCAAGACCAGCCTGGCCAACATGGCAAAATCTTGTCTCTACTAAAAAATACAAAAATTAGACAGGCATGGTGGCACGCAATGCGGGAGAATCACTCGAGTCCTAGAGGGGGAAGCTGCAGTGAGCTGAGATCACATCAGTGCACTCCAGCCTGAGTGAAGAGTGAGACCCTGCCTCAATCAATCAATAAACAGTGAGAGACATGTGACTCTTCCTTTCACTTAAAGATCATTGTAGAGTTATTATATGGCTTAATTTCAATATCGCAGCATCGCAAGGAATAGAGAGGCCAGAGGAGAGGGAGAGAGAGCCCGGGGAACTATCAGTGACGGAGCAGTCAGAACACACACATTTGTGAAGTTCGCCTTCGTATATGGATGAGCTTCATGGTGCCAGAAAACAATCGTAACATCAAAGATCACTGATCACAGATCACCATCAGAGACGTGGTAAGTACAAAAAAGCCTGAAACACCATGAGAATTACCAAACGTGACACAGAGACACAAAGTGAGTGCGTGTGGTTGGATAAATGGCACCAATCGACTCGCTCCGGGCAAGGTCGCCAAACACCTTCACTGTGTAAAACACGCAGTGTCTGCAAAGCGAAGAACAAGGTACACCTGCGTGTGATGGGTTGTGGGATGGAGTGGAAAGAAGGAAAAAATCATGGTGGGGCAGTGAATCCAGAAAGGCCGCCTCTTAGAATCAGGCCTGTGGGTGTAACCAAGCAATATTTGTATCCGAGGGTCTACACAAATATACCTCAAAGCCACCGCAGCAAAGGAAAGTCAAACAAATTGGTACAGACTGTTTGCAGTTTCATGACAACACGTGGGCCCTTGCTATTCTCAACAGTCTTTCAACCTCTTCTTTAGATTCCCCTTCCATTGTTAGACTATGTGGTTTTCGTTTCTTTGTTTTGAGATGGAGTCTCACTCTGTCACCCAGGCTGGAGTGCAGTGGTGCAATCTCAGCTCACTGCAACTTTCGCCACCTGAGTTCAAGCGATTTTCTTGCCTCAGCTTCTCAAGTAGCTGGAATTACAGGCATGCGCCACCAGCCCTGGCTAATTTTTGTATTTTTGGTAGAGATGGGGTTTCACCATGTTGGCCAGGCTAGTCTCGAACTCCTGACCTCAAGTGATCCACCTGCCTTCGCCTCCCAAAGTGCCGGGATTACAGGCGGGAGTCACCACATCTGGCCAGCTGTTAAACTATCTTAATGATAGTTATAACGGATTATAACAACCTGATGCCTATTGTGTGCCAGGCACTGTGATAAGCACTTCACGCATACTAACTCATGTAATCCTCACAGCAGCAGCTCAATGAGGTTGGCTCTATTATTACCACCATTTTACCGATGAGAAAACCGAGCACAGAGAGGGTGAGTTACCTGACCGAGATCACACAGCTGGTGTGTGACAGAACTGCAGGGACCTTCCTTGGCACTTTTTTCTTTTTGGTAATGACTTTTTTGAGCTATGGACCACATCGCACACAAGTCACCCCTTTAAAGTATATGACTTTTGTGGTTTCTGGTATGTATCGAGAGTTGTGAAACCACTACCCCAATCAATTTTAGAGCATTTCCACTACCTCAAAAAGGGACTCCACAGCCATTAGCAGTCACCCTCATGCCCCTGGCTGCCCCCCACACCCAGCCCTGTGCAACTGCTCATCTACTTTCTGTCTCTACAGATTTGCCTGTTCTGGCCCCTTGGCCTGAATATATGTGGCCTTCTATGTCTGGCTTCCCTCACTTAGCATATTTTCCAGGTGGAATTGCCAGATCACATGGCAACTCTATGTTTAACTTTTTTTGAAATGGAGTCTCACTCTGTCACCCAGGCTGGAGTGCAGTGGCATGATCTCAGCGCACTGCAACCTCTGCCTCCTGGGTTCAAGCGATTCTCCTGCCTCAGCCTCCCGAGTAGCTAGGATTACAGGCACCCGCCACCATGCCTGGGTAATTTTTTTTTTCTTTTGTATTTTTAGTAGAGATAGGATTCACCGTGTTGGCCAGGCTGGTCTCAAACTCCTGACCTCAAGTGATCCACCCACCTCGGCCTCCCAAAGTGCTGGGATTATTTGTAACCAAGGGTCTACACAAATATACTTCAAATATACCACAAATATACCCAGGCATGAGCCATCATGCCTGGCCTGTGTTTAATGTTTTGAGGACCTGCCAGACTGTTTTCCAAAGCAGCTGAGTGGATTTACACCATCCCCAGCAGCGCAGGAGGATGCCCAGTTCTCCACATCCTCACCACGCCAGTCATTATCCGTAAATAAAAAAAATAGTTTTTATTTGCTGATGACTGATGACATAGAGAATCATTGTATTCACTCACTGGCCCTTGGTACCTCTTCTTTGGAGAAATGTCTATCCCTATCCAGATCGTTTGCCCTTTTTCTTTTTTTTTTTTTTTTTTGGTGACACAGGGTTGTGCTGTGTCACCTGGGCTGAAGTGAAGTGATACAATCTGCAGCCTCAACCTTCTGGGCTCAGGCGATCCTCCCACCTCAGCCTCCCGAGTAATTGGGACTACAGTTACTACAGCACCACGATGTCTGGCTAATTTTTAAATTTTTTTTTACAGAGATGGGGTCTCCCTATGTTGTCCAGGCTGGCCTCAAACTCCTGGCCTCAAGCAATCCTCCTGCCTTGGGCTCCCAAAGTGTTGGAATCACAGATGTGAGCCACCTCAAGCTGCCCCTTTGCCTATTTTTTAACAGGGCTTTCTTGACTTTTGCCAACAAAAGTAGCCCTTTGTTCTCAGGGAACCCTGCTCCCTTGGGTGGAGGGTTGCAGGAATGAGCATGTGGGGGGACCTCAATGGCAGGAAGGAATAAAATCATGTAGCATCCAGGGAGGCAAGGGGTGAATGAAAGGACAGGCTGAAATGACTAGATCTAAGTGGTTAGCAGCAAGGAGCCCCGATACTGTGCCAGGTTAGAGGTTAGAAGGCCAGAGCACCCCTCACCATCTCAGACCCACTCTGAACCAACGCCCTTGTCTTCCCCGTGCCCCAGATTCTATCTGTAAAATGAGTTTTCTGTGCCAGGCCTGTGTAGCTTGTAAAACTGGCAGGGGGCTGGACACAGCGGCTCATAACTATAATCCTAGCACTTTAGGAAGCCAAGACGGGAAGATCACCTGAGGTCACCAGTTCAAGACCAGCCTGGCCAACACAGTGAAACCCTGTCTCTACTAAAAATTAGAAAAATTAACCAGAAGTGGTGGTGTATACCTGTAATCACAGCTACTGGGGAGGCTGAGGCAGGAGAATCACTTGAACCAGGAGGCAAAGTTTGCAGTGAGTCGAGACTGTGCCACTGCACTCCAGCCTGGGTGACATAGCAAGACTCCATGTCAAAAAAAAAAAAAAAAGTGGTGGGGGACGGATAGGCTGGGAGCGGAACCCGCTCAGATGTCACGTCTGTGTGCAAAGCAGAGCACCCCTACTCCCCGCTCCCAGTCCCCACATCACACAGCGTTTCCTTGCAACTACAGAGTGCTCAGAGCTGGGCAAGGGAGGTAGGAAGCGGTAAAAAGGGACAGTTTTCGAGTATGACAGGTGGGGAGAGGCAAGGAGGAGGCTGCTGTGGTGACAGAAACGCATCCATCCAACCTCACCTGGCTATAGGAGGGGCTGATGCTGGGTCCGGAGTCTCCGTGAAACAGGTAGACAGCACCCCGGTCCTCCTCCTCTCCTGGGGCCCCGATGGCCACATCCGTCAGCTTGTCCCCATTGACGTCCCCCAGCACCGTCAGAGCCGCCCCAAAGCGGCCCCAGGGGTGGCCCTGCTCCCCTCGGAGAACCGAATTACACCACCACCTGCTCCACTGCAGAACACAAGCAGTGTCAGGCCCAACCCGGACGACCCCTCCACCCACACCAGACCCCACCCAGCCCAGGTCCCATAGGCTACTCACCCCCCTGGGCAAGGGGCACACGGACACCTGGCCCCCTCGGATCTGCTCGTAGTAATGGGGGGCCCCGATGAGGATCAGGTCGGTGTTGCCATCGCTGTCCATGTCCACGGAGCAGAGGGAGGCCCCAAAGTAGGAGCCGACCTGGAGGGCAGAGGCTGGGTCGTGCTGCCTGCCCCACCAGAGGCAGCCCTGAGGGCCAGGTCCCGCCTCTCCCCAGGTACCAGGACCTCTCCAAAGGCCCCCAAAGCCCCTCCCTCCTCTCCTCTGCCCAGGTCACCGCCCACACCCTCATCTTCGCCTCTGGCTCCGGCCACGCCCAACCTGGGTCCCCGTGACTTCAGCCTTCATCCTCCATCTCCTGGACACCTGGGTGAAGATGACAGCCTTCCCGGTGTGCTGGTAGCGGGGGGCCCCCAGGACCAGGCTCTGTACCCCCTTCCACAGGGCCAGCTGGGTGGAGTAACCTGAGAGGTCCAGGCCTCAGCACAAAGGCCCCCAGCCCCCTGTCCCCAGAACCCTGGACCACACAGCAGCCAGCACAGCCCATCACCCTCCTCAGAACCCTGGACCCCACTCCAGCAAGCACAGCCCATCCCCCTCCCCAGAACCCTGGACCACCACCCTGGGCAATGCAGCCACCACCCCCCTTCTCAGAACCCTGGACCTCACCCTAGCCAGCCCAGCTCCCATCCCTCTCCCCAGAACCCTGGACCCCACCACAGGCAGCACAGCCCCATCCCCCTCCCCAGAACCCTGGACCTCACCCTAGCCAGCCCAGCTCCCATCCCCCTCCCCGGAACCCTGGACCCCACCTCAGGCAGCACAGCCCCATCCCCCTCCCCGGAACCCTAGACCCCACCCCAGACAGCACAGCCCCATCCTGCTCCCCAGAACCCTGGACCCCACCCTGGGCAGTGCATCTCCCACCTGTCCCCAGCCCCTGGCCATTTCTCACCCAGGTAAGAATCCCTCATGTCCACATTCTCCTGAGACATGTTGATGAAGGTGGGGTTCATATTTGGGGGGTACAGGAAGGCACCTCCAGACCAGCTGAAGCTCCCCACAGCCCCCAGGACAGGGCCATCCTGGGAGGAAAAGATTCCAGGGCTGAGCAGAGGCCAGAGAAGGAAGACACGTGTCCCAGAGATAGGCCGGCCACCCGTGCCTCTCGCCCACCTGCCACCCACCCTGGCCTTCCCTGCTCCCGCCGTCCCCTCACCACACATCATCAGCCTAAGGGGCCCCACTCACAGGCGTGAACACAGCACTGAAGCCTTCCTGCGCCATCTCCAATTCAAAGGAGCTACTGCTTGTAGTCTCGGTACCTAGGGGAAGGCGTGACGCTTGAGTGCCAGGGAGGGAGGCGGGCTTTGCCAGGTCCAAGAAGAACACCTCAGCTTTAGGAGAAGCTAAGGCTGGAGGCTACAGGAAGGGTTGGTGCCTGTGACAGGGACCAGGCTCTGCCCTGCAGATCGGCTCTGACTTCGGGGACCCCCTCTGCTCCGTGGACATGGACAGCAACCGCAGCACCGACCAGGTCCTCATCGGGGACCCTATTACTATGAGCAGACCTGAGGGGACCAAGTGCCCATGTGCCCCTTGCCCAGGGGGGTGAATGGCTGGAGGGACCTGGGCGGGATGGGGCCTGGTGTGGATGGAAGGGTCTCCTGGGTTGGGCCTGGTAACTGCAGTGGAGCAGGCGGTGGTGTGAAATCAATCTCTGTGGGGAGCAGGGCCACTCCTTGGGCCACTTTGGGGTGGCTCTGACAGTGCTGGGGGATGTGAATGGGGACAAGCTGATGGACTTTGGGGCCCCAGGAGGGTGGGAGAACCAGGCTGCTGTCTGTGGGTTCCATGGAGCCTCGGGTGCCAAAGGGAAAGGCATTACAGCTGAGGATTTCCCAAGCGAAGAGCTCCCTTTCAGACTCACCCTCAATGGCAAAGATCTTCTCCTTCAGTTGGTTCTGGATATCTTTCAGAGCATCAAAGTCCTCCACTTTAAATATGTGTTCCTGGGAGGGCTTCGATGCAATGTCATTCAATTCTTTCCAGGAGTTTCTGTTTTGAAAAGCTGATCCAACCTGTCCCCAGAAAAGATGAACTCAGTAAAAATAATGAATGGAATGCGCCTGTGTGCACTGGGTGCAGCATCCTCCAACAACCCTGCAGGGTCGGCAGGACCGCACGCATCAGACACATGAGAAGCACGAGCCCCCGACGGCAGCAGGGAGTTTAGGAGAAAGGACCACGGTCCCCAGGCTGGGCCAGAGTTTTCATCCTGAAGGCAGTAAGAGCCGACAGAGCTGACAGAGCTGGTGTTTCTACCCTTGAAAGAGATGTTGTTGGCGGTGGCTCACGCTTGTAATCCCTGTGCCTTGGGAGGCCAAGGTGGTAGAACTGCTTGAGGCCAGGAATTAGAGACCAGCCCGGGCAACATAGCAAGACCCATCTCTACCAAAAAAAAAAAAAAAAAAAAAAAAAAAAAAAGGTAAAATAAAAATCGCAACTACAGCCAAACCACCCTGAACACGCCCGATCTCGTCTGATCTTGGAAGCTAAGCAGGGTCGGGCCTGGTTAGTACTTGGATGGGAGACCACCTGGGAACACCGGGTGCTGTAGGCTTATGAAAAATGAAATAAAATAAAATAAAATAAAAATCTCCAGGCATGGTGGCGCACAGCTGTGTTTCCAGCTACTGGAGAGGCTGGGGTGGGAGAATCACTGCAGCCCAGGAGTTCGAGGCTGCAGTGAGCTAGGATTTTACCACTGCACTCCAGCCTGGGAGACAGAGCAAGACCCTGTCTCAAAGAGAAAAGCAAGGGAAACTGCCCTGAGAGGAAGCTGAGGGAGAAGGGGGAAGGCGTCGCCATGCCCTACCCCAATTGCATAGCGGATGATGCCTGCTTTGTCTGCCATGGGGATGACATCATCATAATCCAGCCAGTCGCCTTCTTTCTTCCCATCAGTGATGACAATGAGGATCTTGGTGGCATCCCTGCGGGCCCCGTTTGAGGCAAGGAACAATTCCCTCCTAACAGGAAAGAAGAGGTCTTAGAGGCCTGTGAACAAAACCACATTAGCCACTGGTGCCCTTGTGAAAATGAGAAGGTGCCCTTCCTTTGGGAGGCTCCAGTCCCACCTAGAGGTCCCACCTTGGCAAGGGTATCACGGGCTGGATTTCAGTCCCTGCCTGTCCCCTTCTTGCGGAGACAGATGAGGCTCAAGGGAAGACCTGGATGCTTTGGGACTGTGCCTGGGAGAAGTCAGGACTCACACAACTTTTTGGATGGCGGTGGCCGTGTGTGTGTACCCTCCCAGCTGGTAGACAGAAGCCAACAGGCTGAGGGGGTTTGAGCTGTCCCTGAATTCCTTGAAAGTGAAGTGTGTTCGGAATTTGCTGGAGAACTGCATCAGGGAAAACTGGGAGAAGCACACAGGGCCGGGGCTGAGACCATTTCACCAGGGTCCAAGCTCCCACCCTCAGCAGCCTCCCTCCTCCGAAGGCACACCTGGGTGCTGGGTCTCTGAAAGTGGCTCATCACAGCTCTCACGAAGCTCTTCATCGTGGCAAAGTTGTTGTATAAGATGCTGCCCGAGCCATCGATCAGGAACACAATGTCCTGCTCCTGTCTTGGGCACTCTGGGGAAGGAGGTGGCACAGGTCCTCCAAGGGACACTCCCAGAGCCCAGGACCGTGGCCTCCTGGCCACAAGAGCTGACTCTCCCAACACCCTTCCTCCCCTAAGCCCCTAGTCTGGCGATGGGAGTCAGGCTCCACACCCTGGGTCCTCTCCTCATTGGGGGCAGGGCTTCCCTACCCCGCTGCCTGGGACAAGCCCCTTCATTCTCACAGTTGCATAAAGAGTCTGTGTTGAAGCTGCTCACTCCTGCGAAGCCAGCCCAGCCGATAAGAAAGTAAAGGTCAGGCTGGGCACAGTGGCTCACGTCTGTAATCCAAGCACTTTGGGAGGCCTAGGCAGGAGGACTGCTTGAGCCCAGGATTTCAAGATCAGCCTAGACAACGTAGTGAGAACCCACGTCTATTAAAAATTGTTAAAATCAGCTGGGTGTGGGCATGGTGGCTGTGGTCCCAGTTACTCTGGAGGCTAAGGTGGGAGGATCACTTGAGCCCAGGAGTCGGAAGCTTCAGTGAGCTGTGATTGTACCACTGCACTTTAGCCTGGGTGACAGAGTAAGACTCTGTCTCTTAAAAAAAAAAAAAAAAAGGATTTCTCCAATTCAGATGGCAGGAAGTGAGGGTCTACCCCTCCACCCTGAATATCTGTGACCTCCCTGGACCCTCCCCACCTTCCTCCCCCAGTGTCATCCCATCCAGCAATGACACAACCTGACCCCATCCCCTGGCCAGTGTTTGTCCTCACTGCTCAGTGCTGAATGGTAGTTTGATTTTTTGTTTTGTTTTATGTTTTTGATTTATTTTTTTTTTGAGATGGAGTCTTGCGCTGTTGCCCAGGCTGGAGTGCAGTGGCATGATCTTGGCCCACCAAAACCTCTGCTTCCTGGGTTCAAGCAATTCTGCTGCCTCAGCCTCCTGAATAGCTGGGATTACAGGTGCACATCACCACAACTGGCTAATTTTTGTAGAGACGGTATTTCGCCATATTGGTCAGGCTGATCCTGAACTCCTGACCTTGTGATCCACCCACCTCAGCCTCCCAAAGTATAGTTTTGTTAATTTTTTTTTTAAGGTGGAGTCTTGCTGTGTCACCCAGGCTGGAGCGCAGTGGTGCAATCGTAGCTCACTACAGCCTCCAACTCCTGGGGTCAGGCAATTCTCCTGCCTCAGCCTCCCGAGTAGTTGGGACTACAGGTATGTAACACCACACCCAGCTACTTTTTATTTTTATTTTTGTAGAGATGAAGTCTCACTCTATTGCCCAGGCTGGTCTCAAACTCCAGGCCTCAAACAACCCTCCTGCTTTGATTGTTAATATTTTAAATTAATCATCCCAGGAGCAACCACACACTGGGCCTGTTCTGTTCCCAGCTTAAATACAGGCCCCCACTTCCCTCCAGCATGAAAGCAGCATCTGCCCTGAGAAGAGGACGTTCTTCCAGCACCTGGAGAGGAGACCCCCTTTCACGCAACCTCTCAGTGTCCCCTCTGCCTCAGAGGCCTCCATTAGAGAGACAGGCATCCTGGGCATTCTGATGGGTGCTAGGCCCCTGTGGATGGAGTCTGGACCCACAGAGGTGCTGGAAGGCACACGCTATTTGCAGCCAGACGTCAGTCTCACCAAGGGCTTCAGAGCAAATCTGAAACCAGGGGAGGCCTCAGCTCGCAAGGTCTGAAAAGCCCACTGTTCCGCTTCCTTATCTTTCTTCCCCATCAACACCAGGGAAGCCAGGCCCTGCACTTCAACCTGCACATGCACACGCATGCACACATATGTGTACACACACACGCATGCACATGCATGCACACATGTACACCTGTGTGTGCACATGTGTGTGTACATGCATGCATGCTCATACACACATGTACACATGCATACACATACATACATGCTGCTCACACTGTACCTTCACTGACCTTTCCTACTGCACAAACCAATTGGTCATATCCCAGGACCCATTGGATGAAAATAGATCCCCTTCTCTAAAAATAACAGCAGCGGCCTTCATAGGGCTGTCGCCTGGTGCCAGCTTCTGTGCTAACCCCTGACCATGAATCATCTTGTGTTACTTCAGTGCTGGGTGTGTTATTCTCCCCATCCAACAGATGAAGAAACTGAGGCTTGGAGAGGTTAAGATCCCACGAAAGGTCACACGATGTGTGGGCGACGTGCAGGGTGTGTGGGCAGCGGCGTCGGGAACCGCTACACCATGCAGTAACTCTTTTTCCAGAGCCCCTCTTTCGGACTTACTCTGGCAAGAGTGTCTCTGGCCCACTGTACCCCTAGTTAGATGCACGTGAGCTCCTCAAAGCCCTCCAGTGGCCCCGACACTCACCCTGCATGGATGCTGGGAGCCTCTGGGTGAGCTGGGTAGGGGCCAGGAGGAAGCAGAGTCCGGTCAGGTACATGTTCCTCCCGCACGCGTGGTGCATGGTGGGGCCGCAGGCCTGGGGACACAGCGGGCTGCTGGAGGGCTGCCCCTGCACCCTCGCATTCCGGCAGCTCCACCTTACACGAGACCCCCAACCCCTGAGGTCCCGGGTCCCCCCTCCCTCCCACAGGGGCCTCCTGTGACCCAGGGCCACTCACCAGCAGCTGGGAGGGGCTGGTGGTAGCCGCCAGGGACAGGCCCAGGGACATGTTCACTGCCTCCCAGGGGACTGCGGGACAGATATGTGCATGGTCACCCTCAGGGGGACAGAGAAGGCTACGGAAGAGCTGGGCAGGGGTCACCTCCACCTGGGAGACAAGGAGGTCTGACAGCGAAGGGGGCTGTTGGATCTTAACAGAACTGCAGGGGTGCACTGGGTGGGGAGGCCTTGAGGGGCCAGGAAGCGGGTCTGAGGGTGAAGGTCTCAGATACAGCAGAAGCTGGAAGTGAAACTCCGATGAGCACGGGCTCCCAGAGAGGGGAGCCTGGGAACCTGGCCCTGGGTCCTGGGGGGCCGGTGACTCACCCTGCAGGCTGATGGGCCGACAGGCACCGGTGCTGTAGCTGCACTGGTAGAGGCCGCCTGTTTGATTGGCAGCCGTCATCTCGTGAGGGGCTCCAACCACCACCCTGCAGGGAGAGAAGATACTGCAGGTGAGAGCATGGACAGTGGGCACAGCTGCCCTCGGGGGAGTTCACATTTCCTCTCCCAGCCTCGGCTTCCTCATCTGCAAGATGGGTTTTAATAATTTAAATTCTACAGGGGAGGGATTTGTCTGTTGGATTTTCTGACGTATGGAGACATAGTAGGTGCTCAAGAAATATTAGTTGAGTCTGGGCGTGGTGGTTCACACCTGGAATCCCAGCCCTCTGGGAGGCTAAGGCAGGAGGATCCCTCGAGCCCAGGAGTTTGAGACCAGCGTAACCAACATAGTGAGACCCTATCTCTCTATATATTTTTAAATGTGTACAAAAAAAGAAAGAAAAAACAAATAAGTGTTTTATGCATGACTGATTCCGACTCACAGGTTGCCACATTCCCTGTGACGAGCCTGGCACTGCACTGACTGCTCTGTAAATGTTAGCTGTGAGACCGGGCCTGCTTTCAAGGCAAATCTGCATAAGCCAGGGCAGTCACTACACCAGACAGAGAGGAGAGTTTGCAAATAACAGGGCAGGGTGGGGAGCATGGGGCCCTGAGCAGGGAGAGGAAGGATGGAGCCGAAGGCCAGCACCACCAGGGCCTCACCAGGAGTTGGCGTACTGGACCACGCTGTCTCCAAACCCAGCGCTGTCCACACGGAAGGCTGTCAGCCGCTCTGTGTCCAAGTTGAAACCCAGAGAAGTCGCTAAGACTGGGGAGGAGGTGGGAAGAGAGCTTTGGAGAAGGGTCTTCCTTCTGCCTGGCTGCCCCCCACCCCCAGCCCCAGTGGGGGCCTCTAAGTCTGATGCCTGGGATGCCTGGGTCTTCTGGACACCTAACTCATCACCTTCTCTCCTTCCGAGAGTCCAGAGAGGCCCCTCACCCACCATCCGCTGTCGAGTTTCAGTTCTCTGTTTCTGCAGAGCAGTACTAAGGTTCTAAAGAGGATCTTTCCCCACTGCACCCCTGGGGTGCTATGTCCAGGAAAACTTGGGGACCAAAGGTATGCTGTGCACAGAGCACAACCTTGGCACGTTCTGCCTATTTTAAAAATCTCTGAGGCTGGGCACGGTGGCTCACGCCTGTAATCCCAGCACTTTGGGAGGCCAAGGTAGGTGGATCACCTGAGGTCAGGAGTTCGAGACCAGCCTGGCCAACATGATGAAACCCTGTCTCTACTGAAAATACAAAAAAAAAAAAATTAGCCGGGCACAATGGCGGGTGCCTGTAATCCCAGCTACTCGGGGGGCTGAGACAGGAGAATCACTTGAACCCAGGAGGCAGAGGTTGTAGTGAGCTGAGATTGCATCATTGCACTCCAGCCTGGGCAAAAAGAGCAAAACTCTGTCTCAAGAAAGAAAAATAAAAAGATTAAAACTCTCTGGAGTGTCATGACAACTGTCCTCTCTTCCGGCATCTCTGGAACTCCCCCAAAATTGATTCATCCATATCCTCTCCCTCCATGTGGGAAGTAAAAATGTTCCTCCTTAAAGTTTCCTTTCTTATTAAAGAATAAATCATAAGTGTTATTCTTTAACAAGAGAAAAACACTTGTTAAAGAATATCCTCTTGTTAAGCCCTATCCTATGTAGCTGTTAAACATGCTATGCTTACAGGCACGTGGTACATTCTACCTCCTTGTACTTTAACCCTAGTTAACCAAGATGTCTGTGCTGGACATGCTCACAGGCATGTCCCAGCTTTCCATTGCTTTTACCTGTTTAGAAAAGTTTTAAGTTGTTAGCCAATCAGATTTGAGTTTAGATTGTAAGGTCTGGCTCCAGCCAACGGAGATCAGACACAGCAGTAAGGATGATCCCAAATGGGTAAGGGATAAATATGTCTGCTTTTCCTTTGTTAATTGCACTCTCCTGGCAAGATGGCTGGTCAGAGTACCCCTCCTGTAGTCCAGGAGGTAAAAATTGTGTTGCTGAAAGATCCTTTGTCTCAGTGCTAACTTTTCTTTGCGGCACTGAGCATCTGTTTCCGACACTCCACAAACTCCAGATCCCAAACCCTATGTGCCAGCCTCTCTCTCCTGCCTGAGTCTCTCTTCCTACCCAGATCCTGACCCTCCCCAGGCTGAACCCCCAGTTTAGGGCCTTGGCTCCCTTGGGCCTGGGTCCCCAGTCCCACTTCGTTGGGGACCAGGCTCACCTGTGAACAGGAGGAGTGCTGTCCTGGTCCTGGTCATGACTGGAAGGTCAGATGCGAAGCTCCGAGCTCCTGGGTTGTTTCAGGAAGAGCTAGACCAATGTACTGAGGAAGCAAGTGGCCAGAGAGGTGGCCAGGGGCAGGAAGAAAGTTGTCAGGGTGAGTCAGACGGGGCGGGCAGAGAACACAACTGAACCAAGGACCGGCCCACATGCCCACCCCTTGGCCGGAGTCACTCTCATCATATGACTTGGCTTGATGCTCTTTGTTTGAGTGGATGCAAATCCTTGCCCTGCCCTCTCAGGCTCCCCTGTGACTGGCAGAAGGTGCCCTTGACCCTGAAATGTCAGCCAGACTGGAGTGGGTGGGCAGAAGCCAGCCCCTCAGGACCCTGAAGGAAACCCTGGTGGAAGCCCTCCACTCTGACCTGGAAAGTCTGGGTCGAGGAATGGGGCATCCGGGTCCCTAGGAGGAGCACAGAGCGAGTACTCTCATTTATTCATTCACTGTTTTATTCATCATTTACTCAAGAAGCCTAATTTGAGCCTGGAGATGCAAGCCCTCTGCTAGGTGAAGAAAACGTAAACCACAAAGCCCCGGCCCTGGTGTCAGCGGAGAGGCAGATACATAAATAAGAAGCTCACTGCTATGAGGGAGAAGAGCAGAGACCACAGGGTGCCTCACCCAGGCTGGGAAGGTGTGGCTCTCTGGGAGGGCTTCCTGGAAGAGGCGGCGCTTGAGCTGAGCATTGAAAGCAATAGAACTCGGGAGATGACAGGGCAGCCAGACATGGACAAGGCAGGAGACAGGAGGGCATGTGTGTAAAATCAGTGAGGGAACCAGACAGTCAGAGGTGGGAAGTGGTAAGAGACAAGGTCAGGGCCGCTGGGAGGAGAGGAAGGGAAGCAGGACCCAGGCCCTGGAAGCCACCCTACTGTATGTACATCAATTTTTTTTTTCTTCAGAAACGGGATCTTGCTCTGTTACCCAGGCTGGAGTGCAGTGGTGTGATCATAGCTCACTGTAGCCTAGAACTCCTGGGCTCAAAGGACCTCCCACCTCAGCCTCCCAATTAGCTGGGAGTATAGGATTGCACCACTGCACCTTAATTTTTTTTATTATCATTATTTTTAGTAGAGACATGGTTTCCCCATGTTGGCCAGGCTGGTTTCAAACTCCTGGCCTCAATCAACCCTCCTGCCTCAGCTTCTGAAAGTGCTGGGGTCACAAGTGTGAGCCACCACACCCAGTAAAGACACATTGATTTTATCCTGAGGGTAGAGGGGAGCATTGAAGGGAATTAATGGGGATCACATCCCCTGTCATTGCTGGGAGAGTTGAGTGGGTGTGGAGGGCTTGGGAGAGCAGGTGGGAGCCTGGGCTGCCGCCTGTGATCATTGCTGTGCTGTGACAGCCGTCCTGGTGGGAAGGAGGTGTCTGTGGAGCCTCCGAGAGAGAGGTGGGAGGCAGTTGGGTATGTGGGTCTGGACCTCAGGAACAGCTCGGTTCTGGACCCATCAGCAGAAGTGCCGGGCGAGGTCCTGGCGAGAGTGTGACAAGGGAGGTACATGCAGGCCATGGAAACAGCAGCGGTGGCCACAGAGCAGGAGACCTGAAGACTGAGGAGGCCCCACAGAGAGGCGGAAGGAGGCAGGGAGAGAGACAGGCAGGCAGACCGGGGACACAAACCACAGAGCAGGCTGCCAGACATCCAGTGAGGGAAGACACGAGGACTGTCCCAGCTCTGGCTCCAGAGGCCATCAGAGACCCCGGAGTGGGCCATGCTGGGGCAGCAGGGAGGCCACACTGGCGTGGGCCGAGGAGGCATAGGTGTGACAAACGCAGCAGCGCTGTCACCTGGAGGGAGAGCCTCGGACCCCACACTTCTGAGCAGCATGGCTGGGAGTGGGCCCTGGAGAAAGGGGGAGACGAGGAAAACCGCAGAGAGAGAAGATGGTGGGTTGAAAGCCAAGAAGGAAATAGCAACAGAAAAACCCAAAAAAGAGGAAGAAGTGGCGCAGGTTCTGGAGAGGATAAAAAAAAAGAAACCAGCAACTGGGGATGCAGGGCGGGGCTTGTGGGCAGGGTGAGGGCCAGTGAGGCCTCGCCTTTGAGGAGGCCAGGATCCTGGCCTTGCCACCCCCTTTCTCCTGCTTGAGGTCCACCTCAGGTGGAGGAGGCAGGAGAGGAGGACCCCAGATGCATGAGAGGCCCCATCTCCTCTCAAGCTGCCCACCGACTCCCGCGGTACCCCAGGCTCAGTCAAGGTGAACTCAAATTGGAAGAAAGCCAAGGTGAGACCATTCGCTTTTGGAACAGACAATTCAGGCTCAGCAAAGAGGAAGACAGGACGCGTTCTCATCTCAGCCCACCCCCGTTACAGATGAGAGCCGTGGGGCTTGCAACCAGGACCTCAGGGAGTCTAAAACTCACAGCCCCACGCAGTGAATCATGACTTGATGATTCCAGAGGAAGGATGGCAGCCGGGGAAATGGTGTGAGCAAGGAAGGAAGGGGCTGCCCATCACCCACCTCCTCAGCCCCGAGGGATCCTGAGTCAGCAGAACCCAGCTCCCCACACAGCCCCCTGGGGTGCTCAGAGCCCAGGCTGAGCCCATGGCAAGAGGTCAAGGGTAGAGGGAGGATCTGGGGGAGTTTGGAGAGCAGCCAGCCTGTCCTGGGCTGATGCTCACCCAATCAGTTCCTGCTCCATCCCTGAGCCCAGGGGCTCTGGTTGAAGGAGGTTCCAGCAGGGCAGCGGGTTGGGATAGGGAGGCGTGGTTCTGGCACGAACAGGGAAGGAGGTGGATATGGAGAAGCCAGGTCCAACGCTACTGCCTTAATTCAAGTCTGATTTGTCTAAGTGGAACTGAAAAATTTGGGGTCTGTCTCCTGGGTCCTTTGTTTTCTATGGAAAGAAGAGAACAGAAACCTTGTGGGCAGAAACCCTCGGATTTCTGGGTCCGTTTCCGCCCCACACTCACCCACAGGGCCCTAGTGGAGTTACCCTAAAGTTTCCGCCCCGCCTTTCCCCACTCGCAGTCGGTCTTACTTCTCTCTTTGAAGGACAATCCCTGCTGCACCCCCACATGTTCTTAACATGCAATTTATTTTAATTCTACAGTGTAGAAATACACACGTACAGACAGAGGTACTTGGGAAGACGCTCTGCTCCAAAGGCACCCTGAAGGCGCAGCGTTCTGTCAGGATGTACAGTTTGGGAGCGCTGTCTGGGCAGCTCAGTAGGTGGAAAGGAGAAGCAGGCATGGGATAATGACATCGGCGGCCGATGCAGGAGCTGCCATACTGACATTTATAGTACCATGCACCTTATTTATTTTCTTAGTAAAAACAATTTTTTTCTCCTCTCTTTTTTATTTTTATTTATTTATTTTTTCAGTAGAGACAGCCTTTCTCTATGTTGGCCAGGCTGGTCTGGAACTCCTGGCCTCAAGCGATCCACCCGCCTCAGCCTCCCAAAGTGCTGGGATTACAGGTGTGAGCCACCGCGGCTGGCTTCTTTTTTAAAATTTTAGATTCAGGGGATACATGTGCAGCTTTATTCCACAGGCATATTGCAGGGTGCTGAGGTTTGCACTTCTGTTGACCCTGTCAACCAAACAGTGAGCAGAGTACCCAATAGGTAGTTTTCAACCCTTGCTCCCCTCCCTCCCTTTCCCCTCTGGAGGCCCCAGTGTCTGTTGTTCCCATCTTTACATACCCGTGTACCCAATGTTCAGCTCCACCTTATACACAGGAATATGCAGTATTTGGTTTTCTGTTCCTACGTTAATTCTCTTAGGACTATGACCTCCAGCTGCATCCATGTTGCAGTAAAGGACGTGATTTCATTCTTTTTTGTGGCTGCATTGTATTCCATGGTGTGTGTAGCACGTTTTCCAAGCCACCATTGATGGGCATCCAGGCTGGTTCTGTGTCTTTGCTATTGTGCTTTATTTGTATTAGCTAATTGAACCCTCACAGCAGCCCTGTGATGGGGGCTGCTGTCACCCCTGTTTCACAGATGCAAAATTGAGGCATGGAGAAGTTGGGTCATCTGACTCAGGTCACCCAGCTAGTTCGGGCTGAGGACAGGACTCAGGGTGCTGGAGTCTTGAGTATTTTGCTAATGACTTGACTTCCTCCTCTCTGCCCTAACCGCTGCCTGGGGCACATTTGTTCCCCATACCACTCATCCCACACACATGGGCTGCCCATGGGACCTAGGCTCTGGGCTGGCCACTGTGAGAAGCAAGACAAACAGGAAAGGGTCTCAGTCCTCAAGGAGTTACACCCCAGAGGGAGATCACATCCCAGAAGGAGATCACACCCTAAAAGTTTTACTAGACAGCAGAGTAACCCGAGGGAGGAAGGAAGTGATTAGCTCTGCTTGATGAATCGCAGAGGGAGAGGCTTGAGATGATTAAGGCTGTGCCCTGGTGTGCCAGGGGCTGGACAGGGACTGCTGGCTTCCCCACACTGGGACTGTGTCTTCCTAATCTTTCTTTCATTGTTTTGTTTTTCAGAAACAAAGCCTTACTCTGTCACCCAAGCTGGAGTGCAGCGGTGTGATCAGAGCTCACTGTAGTCTCAACCTCCTGGGCTCAAGCGATCCTCCCACTTCAGCCTCCTGAGTAGCTGGGACTATAGGTGTGCACCACCATGTCTAGCTAAGTTTTAAATGTTTTGTGAAGTTAGGGGTCTTGCTATGTTGCCCACGATGGTCTTGAACTCCTGGCCTCAAGTGATCACCCCCATCACCTCAGCCTCCCAAAGTGTTGGGATTATAGGTGTGAGCCACCATGTCTGCCCCTTTTAACCCTTTTATCCCCAGTTCTTCGCATAATCCCTGGCACATGGGAGGCACACAATCCATATTTGGTGCATGAATGAAGTGAAAGAATGGCAGAATGCTATCCAGGCAGCACGAGGATCTGATAGTTCCAGTCCCAATCACAGTTGCAGCTCACTTATGTGCCTGGGAAACAACATTTGCTGCAATTGTTCTAAGCTGAGGGCGGGGGCGGGGAAGTTATTAATCAGCCTTTCTTAGTGAAGGATGAAAGGTGACACTCTCTAGATGAGAGTTCATTGAAGGAAGATACTGCTTCTCACTTCTCTTTGTCTCTCCAACAATGGGCATTGAATACTGAGCAGGTACAACCAGGGGTCAGTTCCTGTCTGTGGGTGTAGAATGGATGGGTGATGGGAGGGTGGATGGGTTTGTGTGTAAACAGGTGGATGGATGGAAGGATGGGGTGGAGGGTGGATGTGTAGATGGGTGGGTGGGCAGGTGAACAGGTGGATGGATGGAAGAATGGAGTGGTGGGTGGAAGGGTAGATGGGTGGGTGAGTGGTTGAATATGTGGCTGATGGAAGGATGGGGTGGTGGGTGGATGTGTAGATGGGTGAGTGGGCAGGTGAACAGTAGATGGATGGAAGAATGGAGTGGTGGGTAGACAAGTAGTTGGGTGGGTAAGTGGGTGAATACATGGATGGATGGAAGGATAGGGTGGATGGGTAGATGGGTGGGTGAGTGGGTGAACAGGTGGATGGATGAAAGGATGGGATGGAAGGTGGAAGGGTAGATGGGTGGGTGGGTGGATGAACAGGTGGATGGGTGGGTGAAGGGGAGATTGCACAGGTTTGAAGCAAATAAACCAAATGCTCAGACCCCCTCACCCACAGTCCTGCTCAATAACTGCATGAATCAGAAGCTGCCTGGAGCGATGCAAAAGTCACCCTTCTAAGAGGTAAACCAACTCGAACTGGTGCAAATTTGGAATAAAACAAGCCTGTTAAATTTGGTTAACAGGCTACAGGAAACAAGTCAAGCAGAGGAAAGCAATGAGAAGCTGGGAAATGTGGCCAAAGCATCCCTGGTGGAAGGGAAAATGCTGGATAATGAGTAAAGGGAAGAGGGAAGAAGGAGCTCCTGCTGGCAAAGCCCCAGGAGAAATGAGGGCTGTCCCCACTCAGGCTCCCACGCTAGCGAGCGGTTTCACCACAATGAGAAGAATATGGATTGAATTTGTACTTAAATTCAGTGAAATAGACACACAGGAGAAAAGGGGACATGAAAACAAGTCACTGAGAAACTGGGTAAGAAGGGAGAGAAGAGGAAAGATTATAGAAAAGAGATGGTCACAGAAGGGGGCTTGGGTCTGCGGTGTTGTTGACAACACCCATACCTTCCATTTCAAGGCTTCCATTTGAAGGTGGAGGCTCCCCTTCCCCACCCATCCATCTACCCATCCACCCACTACCCCATCCTTCCATCCATCCACCTGTCCACACACAAACCCATCCACCCTCCCATCACCTATCCGTCCTGCACCCACAGACAGGAACTGACCCCTGGTTGTATCTGCTCGGTGTCCAATGCCCATTGTTGGAGAGACAAGGAGAAGAAAGCAGGATGGAGTGGGGAAAGAGGCTCGGTGCCAAGGGCCTCTCCCCAACCCTGGCCTGGTCTCTGGGAGCTGTAAGCATGGATGGGTCCCTCCTTTGTTATAATGGAGCGAGCATAGAAAGTCAATACCAAGACAAAAGCATGCCAAATTGCAGGGTCTTTATTGCCAGTGGCCATGGAGGACTCACGTCTCTCCAACCCGTGGCCCCGAAAGGAGGGTGTCAAGGCCTTTTATACCCGTAAAACCACCTCGGGAGTGAGGGTGAGGGGTGGGGGTGGGGGTGAGGGGCTTCGGACATTCCGAGGGCTAGTGGATTCTGTAAATCACTTCCTGGGCAGAGATGAGGGTGAGGGGCTCCAGACATTCCAGTGGATTCCTGGGCGAAGATGAGGGTGAGGGGCTCCGGACGCTCCGAGGGCCAGGGGACTTTTGACATTCTGATTGTTACTTAAGTGGTTCACAAAAGTCAAGATTAGCATTTGTTTACACATTATCTGGGCAGAGTGGAAATTACAGTCCTTAATTACTTATTACAAGACGCAGGGGCCAAGAGGGTGTGGGTTTGGACAGCTTGCCTGTCACATTTGGGTTACAGAGAGCAGTTTCAACAGAAAGCTGAGGTATGGCTGAGGTATGCAGTTTATGGGGCGATTACCGCGTCATACTTGAGGCTGAAGTCTGGCCCCTGATTCTTCCCGAGTGGATTAGTCATTGCCCACCGGCCATTCCTCCCCCTTTCTCCAGCTCATCCTACTGTCACCGAGAAGAGGCTGCTCCCCTGCAGCCAAGACCACTCCCCAGAGATGGGGGCACTTGTGAGCCTTGGGCACCAACACAGCAACTGAGAAACTGGTGTTAACCCTCCAAGCAAGAGTTTTTAAAGGCAGGGTACATTTCAGGAAAACAGAAGTTATAGGCAAAATCATAAACCAATACCTGGAGGTCATACCTCAGTTTGGCCCCAAAAGCCAGGATATCTTGAAGCAAGGTTTACAAGCCATAGGTGGGTTCAGAGATTCTTTGATTTGCAATTGGTTAAGGAAGCAAAGCTTTGTCTAAAAACTTGGGGTCAGCAGGAAGGAATGTTAAGGTCTGGCCTATAGGAGTGACTCTCTCCAGGACCCTCAGGAAGAAATTTAGAGCAAAGAAGAGCGATCAGAGTTGAGTCTTCAGTTCCTCCTTATCAGAGGCCCACCTACCAGCAGATGGCATTTTCCATTTGGTGGGTGACACGGTTTGGATTTGTGTCCCCACACAAATCTCATATTGGATTGTCATCTCCAGTGTTGGAGGAGGGGCCTGGCGGGAGGTTACTGGACCATGGGGGTGGATTTCCCCCTTGCTGTCCTCATGATAGTGAGTCAGTTATCACAAGATCTGGTTGTTTAAACACGTGTACCACCTCACCCTGCTCTCCCTTCCTTACTTCTCCAGCCTTGTAAGACAGGACTCCTTCCTCCTCACCTTCCACCATGAATGTAAGTTTCCTGAGGCCTTCCCAGCCAGGCTTCCCATAATGCCTGAGGAACCATTAGCCAATGAAACCCCTTTTCTTTACAAATTACCCGGTCTCAGGTAGTTTTTTGTAGCAATGCAAGAACGGAATATTACAGTGGGGTCTAGGTTTTTGAAAAACAACTCAGGGGCGTGTGTTAACACTCTTGGTTTTCTGGGCAACCACACATCTCGGGGCTCTCACTTCCTTGGCTACTGTTTAAAGCGACTGTTACTTTCCTGCTTACCAACTGCTCATTTGCTTCTCCAGATCAGCAAGGTGCCTGGAACTCCCCTTGAAGAAACTCAAGATTTTTCTTTATTTCCATGTGTGGGGGAACCCAGCAGGCCTCTAAGAGGGGTTCCCGCTCTGTCTCAGGCACAGACAGCATCTAGTGATCACAGAATGATTTCATCTTAAATCGTTTTTAGGGTAAAAGGAGGGAGTGAGGGGGTCCCTAGGTAAGTGAGGTGACAGAATGAAACACAGCAGACATCCAGAGTCTCTATGAGAACTTGAGCCATCAGGGCCGTGCGCAGGAGGGGCTGGGCTGGAGATGCCTGTGTATTCCAAAGAGGAGGAGTGAGGCAGGGTCATCCCACTCGGCTTCTCTTTCTTGGCCCTGGCTTGGTAGCAGGATCGGTCTCAACAGGCAAGAGTATGGCCAAACTTGGCAACCAATGCGTTCAGTTCCCGCACACTCAGCCCAACCTGCAGAGGGGTCTGTCCTTTAATGGCTGTAAGGGGTGGGGGGAAGATAAGGGAAAGGATTCTAGCAATTCTTCAAGTCTGCACCAAGATGGGAATGCCCACGGAGGAAGCAGAAAGGACATTGCTCAATTGATCTATTTATCACAGTAGCTGGACCGGAGGATTGCTGAAAGACACCAAGACCAACGGAATGAGAGCGGGTGAAGGCTGTTTATTCAGAGCTCGCTCTAGCCAGGGAGTCAGTCCTTTTTGGCAGAGACTCAAAAAACGGGCAGCACAGTAGGAAGGCTTTGTAGTGGAAAATGGGAAGGCTTCAGGGAAGCCCCAAGTGGAAGCTGCTGGCCTAGGAGGCTGCAGGCGGCTCACCGGAGCGGGCATCCCATGTGATTGACTTGGGGGGCATATTTGGCTTTGTCTGGTTGGTCCTAAGTTGGAAGCAGGGACAAAAATTAGGAAGCCATCAGTTATCAATTAAGTCCTAGACATGGGGCTGATTATTAGTTATTACTAGGCCTCCTGGGCGGGTTGCTGCAGACTGGGGGGCAGATTCTATTTTTATGTCTGGTGCAGCCCAGATTCAAGGAGTTAGACAGACCACACCATGTGATGTCAGGGGCAGCAATGTCACACTGCAAGGGTGTGCGGCTGGAAAGCAGAATTCTCTGGGGGTCAGAACTGTAACCACATCCCGTGGTGGCTCAGATTAGGATTCTCCTCTAAGTAAGAAGAGGAGGGTGGATACTGAAGGGATTCATTTATTTGCAAGCAAGAAATCCCAAAAAATAAAAGCAAGCAGACATTCCTGGGCTTGGCCACTTATCACTAGATTTAGGGCCCATTTATTAGTCACTTTGTAGTCATGCTAGGGCAATTTGTCACTTGAAATTATGTACTTTTCTAACCCATCATAAAGTTCTTATCAGGCTGAATTCAACACAAGCTTCTCATTTGAAGACACCCAGGTGAACTCTGAGCCCGCAGGAATTTAACTCCCCTGCAAGGACACGTGATAAGAGGTCCAGAGCTCTCTCCCTTCCTAGGGCAATTCAGGATTTCTGGAGATATTGAGGATTTTTATCTTTCAACATAAGGAAACAGAGATTCTTAACAGATCTTATTTAATTCAGGAGAGGAAATACCAAAGAACTGTCTAGAGGTGACGGTGTATTGCATCACCCCCACAGATACAAAGGGCCATTGCCTCATCAGCCGCCTTTTGAGGCCATCTCACTGCACTTTGAAAGAAATTGACACTCCTCAGTCTGGCTTACAAAGCACTCATGCCCAAGCCCTGCCCATTCTCCCAGGCTGCCCTGCCCTCCCCTCCACCTGGAGGGCTTCTGTCCCTGCTTCAGTCAGGTGTCACCTCCCTTTGGGACCCTTCCTTCACCTCCCTAAGGAGTAAGCCCTCTCTCCTCCTACCACAACTGGAACAAGCGTCCCTCTAAGCCATGATTTTCTTACATTTCAGTGAACGTCATGAAATTATTATTTTTTGGCTAAGCACAGTGACTCATGCCTGTGATCCCAGCTCTTCAGGAGGCCAAGGCGGGTAGATCACCTAAGGTCAGGAGTTCGAGACCAGCCTGGCCAACATGGTGAAATCTTCTCTCTACTGAAAATACAAAAATTAGCCAGGCGTGGTGGCGGACACTTCTCACACTTTGCAAGCACAGTAAACACGACCCTGGCCGGAACATATACCCTCTCTAATTCTCACACCAGTTCCTGGTAATTTATCTGAATTTCACTTATGAGGAAACCAAAGCTTAGATAGATCATACCAGTTGCCTGACGTCATACAGCTGAAAAGGAATGGAGCTAGGAGTTAATCCCAGCTCTGTCTGACTCGAAAGCTTTTCTCTTTTACTGTCCTGACGGCCTCAGAGGACTGGCCCCGGAGCAGGCGTGGGGAGAGGGTGGCTGTTATTTAACTGTTACGATATTAGGTTAAAGCATATGAAATTGATGACATGTTTTTAGACAAAAATATTTATTTATTTATTTATTTATTTATTTGAGATGGAGTCTCACTCTGTTGCCCAGGCTGGAGGGCAGTGGCACAATCTCAACTCACTGCAACCTCTCCCTCCTGGAATCAAGTGATTCTCCTGCCTCAGCCTCCCAAGTAGCTGGGATTACAGGCACATGCCACCACACCTGTCTAATTTTTGTATTTTTAGTAGAGATGAGGTTTCACCACGTTTGACAGGCTGGTCCCGAACTCCTGACCTCAAGTGATTCACCTGCCTTGGCCTCCTTTAGTGCTGGGATTACAGGCATGAGCCACCATACCCGGCCTTTATTTTATGTTATCATTTTGTTTATTTTTGAGACAGGATCTCACTCTGTCATCCAGGCTGGAGTGCAGTGGTACAATCATGGCTCACTGCAGTCTAGACCTCCTGGGCTCAAGTAATCCTCCTGCCTCAGCCTCCCAAGTAGCTGGGACTACAGATGCGTGCCATCATGCCTGGCTACTTTTTAAATTTTTTTTATAGAGACAGGGTCGCAATATATGAACTCCTGAGCTCAAACAATCCTCCCACCTCCACCTCCCAAAGTGCTGAGATTACAGGTGTAAACTCCCGTGCCTGGCCTCACACCTCTTAAATACACTTGTTTCACTCAAATTCTTGGGTTTGCTTCTGGGAGAACCCAAACTTCCAGGAATATATCCTAAAATTATCCTTACATATATGCAAAAATGACATAGATTTATTAACTCAGCATTGATACAATAACAAGAGATTGAAAATAATATATCAAAAGAAAACTGGTGAAATACATTAGGGTATACCCACACAATGGAATACTATGCAGCAATATAAAAGAGTGAAAAGTAAGTTATGTCTTAATACGAACCCATGTCTGCGAAACATTAGTGGAAAAAAGCAAGATACAGAACAGTATTAAGTATGCTACCAATTGTGTAAAAAAGCTTGTGGGTGTGTATGTGTGGTGTGTGTGCACGTGTACATTTGCATATCGCCTGGAATCTGTCTGAAAGAAACCTCAAAACACACCTTGACTACCTTTAAGGAGGTGACTTGAATATCTGGGAAGGGAGACTTTTCACTGTACACTCTCGAATGTCTTCTGACTTTTGTACCATAGACAGGCTTATCCATTCAAAAAATAAAAGTTACAGTGAAATAATACATGAATCCATAAAGGGAGATTCATCGTTCCTCAGTGGGCATCTTTACTGGGCATCAGTGCTGCAGTGGAGTGGGTTTGGTGAGGTTTCTGGTTCCACCCACGGCTTCTATGGAGTCTCCATCCAGGCTGCACAAGCTCGCCCGAGAAGGGAAGTCCCACTTCCTTCAATGAGGAGCAGCTGCTGCGTTTCCCTCGGTGTTCACTCACAGGAGTGACTGTCCACTCTCCCGGAGGAAAACCCAGCAGTGGCTTCACCCACGCACAAGGAAACCCAGGCAGTTCCCCTCTGCCTGAGAGGCTGCACTGCCAGCACCTGCCCACATGCCAAGAGACATCTGAATCACACATGCAAACCGCATGCCCCTGAACACACATGCACACACACATTCATACACTTACACACATGTGCACACACTTGTACACCTTACACGCACGTTCACGCACACACATACACTCACATGCACGCGCACACTGACAGGCACACACGTGCACACTTGCTCACCCTTACACACGCGTGCAATTTGTGCACCCTTGCTCACACGTGCACACACACTTGTACACACACAAATGGAAGCCCAAACCAGTCCTGTCTGGGGGAGCCGTTGCCGTCCGGTGTATCCAGCAGGCTGGCGACTGCGTGTGGTCTGGGCAGAGTCCGGCTGGCCTCGGAGAGGCGGCTCGTTGGGGAAGGAGCCGCTACTGGGGTGCGGCCCCCGGGGTACCCCCTTCACTCATCATGTCCTTGTACTGCCGCTTGAAGAAGCCGAGCTGCGGGGCAGAGGACGGCAGTGAGGGCCACGGAAGCCAGGGATTAGGTGGCTCCGCAGACCGGGGAGTGGGGGGCACCACCGGCCCCCTGAGCGCGGGGCAGAGACAGAAGGGACCCAGGAGGGCGGGGCGGGAGGGGAGTGACATCCGCATCGGGGCCTGGTGGGAAACAGAAATTACTACAAGAAAGGCGACCCCGCGTTTGGTGGAGTCTGTGGCTGGGGCGCTCTCAGCGCGTCTGCTCTTGAACCAGGCCACCCTCCCTACGTGGGTGTGCCCCCCCTCATTTACGGCTGAAGAGACTGAGGCGCAGAGAGGCTCTAGGACTCGCCCCTCCCACACAGCTGGCAGCCCCGCCGAGGAAACCGAGGCACGGAGCTGCAGCGCGAGGCGCGAGAGGAGGAACCGAGAGGGCGGTGGAGCGACT